CTCCTATTTACCTTTCTTTAATGTTTTCATTATTCGTATTTTGGCAGGTATTGTTTAGCTGATGACCGCTTGCTAGAAGCTGTCAAATTTCTGGATCTCAGTATTGGTGCTGTTTGGGAACTGCTTCAGGTTAACTAACATTCTGAAATTTATTATTATTGCCAATAATTTTTGTAATTTACCATGAGTTTTTGGTATGTGAATGTGATTTATCCAATAACATTCTCAAAGAACTTGGTAAGAAGGGGGCTGCTAATGTGTGGGTGTGTTGTTACTTTTTTTGGGTGGGTTGGGGGCTTGTTATAACCATAGAGCACATTGTATTGAACTTTTCTCTATTTTTTGCGTACCCATTTCAAATAATAACAGGCTGGAATAAATTAATGGGGATTTTGTTCAAACTGCTGTAGAATATGGATATTAATACAACTCTTTGATAAACCAAAGGAACTAGCATCTTTTTATGCTTTTCCTTATGAAATTGGTCTTTTGTATTTAGAAACCTCCTAAGTACATAGGATCTTTTAAGCTTTACTCCTGTATGTTATTCATTTATGCCTCAAATCATTTCTATTTTAGTAATTTTGCGATATTTTCTAAACCATGATTTTTTAGAAGAATGATTCAATAAGGTATTTAACTCTGAAAACCAAAATTTTTTGCTTCTATCTGTTCTCTCTGTCCTTGTGTCTTCCATGTTTCAAGAATGATATTCAAGAATTTACAATGTTGTGTTTTCCCAAAGTTCAGTTTTCAAAACAGGCATTATGTTCAACAACATTGTTGTTGTCTTGGTCCAGGCAATGCTGAATCCCGACTTTAGAAAACGGCCAATTGCAGAATCTGTTCTCAATCATCAATTCCTGACTGCTGCTGTTCATAGTTCCAAAGATTGAACATACATACCATCTTTTTGTCGGCCCATGGCTCTTTAAGTGAGTTCAAATTTTATTTATGAACTATTTCTTTTCTTCGTTATAGGACAAACTCTTCAGAATGTATAATTACTTAACAGCTAGTAGCTTCTAGAGATGTTTCATGGTACCGAATTGCTATATTGCTTTGGTTTGCCTGTTTAATCAATGATATCTAGAAGTAGTTCTTCTAATAGTGTGCTTAAACGGACCTTTTCTTAATTATGCACAAGATCCAATATCTTAACAAATGATATCACTTTTCTTTTCTCGATCTCTGTCTAGCGGTATATTTGTTTTGAGAGAATGGTGGGAAACGAAGGACGCCAAAGGAGAAGTCTCTCCGCTTGCCTTATTTCTCATCCCTAAATTGTTGGGATTGGGGGTGATTGGGTATTTCGAGATCTTTGTGATAAATGCTAAGTTTAGTCCCTGAATTTTAATATTATGCACATTTTCGATCCACAACTAATTTTAGCATATTTTTAATCTCTTAACTGTTTAAAACTGCACAAAAACGGTCATTACACTAACAAAAATACACAGTGCCGTTAACTCGGTTTACAAATGCCATTTTTTTGGTTAAATGCTAACTTTGGCCCCTCAACTCGGTTAGTTTGCACAATTTTGTCCCTCAATTATTTTTTGCACCTTTTTAATTCTTCAACTCCAAAATTGCACAATTTTGGTCATTCTATCAGTTAAATGACACATTATAATTAAAATATTTCATATGAAATTTTTCTTAAATTGATTGATAATATGTAATTACACATCATATCATAAAATAGAAAAATTATCAAGTTAAGCATCTACTAATATCTCCAGTGAGCCTACTTACTATAATTACATTTAATATCTTTTAATTCATAAATTAAATTACAAATCAAATGAATTAACTTACCATTAATTTAAATTTAATTTTAATTATTTATAATTAATTATTATATAAATTTAATTACTCAAAAATAGTCTTGCAATTAAATCAATCAAAATTTCCTGAACAAATTTTTTCAATAGCCAAACACGATAATTTTCTCAGCATCCAAATTGAAACAAAATTTTCTTAATCCATTTCATATTAAACAAGAGTTGAAGTAAAATTTACCGATAAAAAAATATTGAAATAAAAATACATAATTCTTGAAATATGAATTATTTGAATCTAGATCTAACTTCCTATGAATCCATATTTCCAACTCAATTTTCTTTTCCTTTTTCATTTCAAATTCTAAAGAATATAGTTGCAAATCTAAAACTGTTACAGTTTGATACAGGCTCAAATGATAGGCCAGTACTGCTAAGCTGGAGCTGAAGTGGATTTGCAGTTGGAAGGTTATGCTGACTGTGCAAGTGCTTAGTGAGAAACTTGTGGATTAGTTAGAATAGCTTATAGTTAGTTAGAAGCAGGGTTGGTTAACTCAAGTATATCTTGTAATTAGCCCCAAATATATAAGGGGACCACTCTGTAATTCTTTTGTTGATTGATGAATAAAAGAAGTAGACCCTTTTCTCTCCTTTCTGGTTCTCCCTCCTTCTCTGGTTCTTCTTCCTCCCCGGCTCTGTTTTCTCCTTCTTTCTTGATTCTTGCTTTTTTGGTTTTGGTGCTATCAATTGGTATTAGAGTAGTGATTTCTTGGACCTGTGGTGATGGCTACTCAAGAGTTGAGGCGAGAGTTTGTTGAATTCCAGAAGAAACATGACACGGACATAGCAAATATCAACAATACTTTGAAGGCCCAAGTTGAGAATACGAATGCTCTGAGGGAGGAACTTGCGAAGTTGGTGCAGATCATCAACACCGGGAAGCTTTCCTCTCCGGTGGTCGCCCAAACCTCCCAGACACAGCAACCAACTTACACTCATTAGACATGTTTAGTAAAGTTCCCTGAAAGCTCAAACACTATTGATCCTATAGCTAGTTTGACAAAGTTTGGTAAGGTGGATTTTCCTAGCTATGATGGTATTGAGAATTTTAGGGGATGGTTGTATAAGTGCAATAGATTCTTTAAGGCTCATAATGTTCCTGATGAGAATAAGGTAAAAATAGCTTCAATGTACTTGTCTGATGATGCTATTATCTGGCATGAATGCTATATGCAAGACAACATGACATTTCCGAATTGGCGAGATTATATTTTTGACATGAGTCTTAGATTTGGGGAGGGTGAGATGCAGGACCCAATTATTTTGTGGAAGAATCTTAATCAAACTGGTAGTGTGAATGATTACCAGAAAGATTTTGAAAGGATCAGGTCCAAGGTTAAATGCAGTGAGAAACAAGCAGTGGCCATGTTTGTTGGAGGGTTGAAGGAAGAGTTGCAACACTCTGTGGCATGTTACAATCCCAAATCAGTGGTGGAAGCTTATTCTATTGCTAAGCGACAAGAGGTCCATAAACTCCATCATTAAAAGAACCAAGAACCTGAGCCTTAACCCCAGAAATTTACCCCCACTTTTGCCATTACCTTCCAATATTCAGAAATTACCCCAATACACAAACCCAAACTCATACCATAATTCCCCAAGACCTCCATCATTTGCCCCTCAAAACAGTTCCTTGATCTCCTCAATGGCCAAAACCCAAAATAAGACCAAAAATACCCGCACCCTTACTGAAGCTGAGATGGAAGATAAGAAAAGGAAGGGATTGTGCTTTTGGTGTGATGAGAACTATACACTTGGACATAGATGTGCCAAGAAGGGGTTGTACAATCTGGAAATTCAGGCCACAGATGAAGAAATTGATGTTACGAATGATGAAATGGAGGAAACTCACTGAACCAGTTATCTATTGTTGAGCCAAGGATTTCCATTCATGCTTTAACTGGTGAACAGGCATACAATACATTAAAGGTGATAGGCTTTGTCAAAAAGAGGCCAATTTTGATTCTAATTAACTCAGGGAGTACTCATAACTTCCTTGATGTTAGACGAGCCAAGAAGCTTGGTTCTATAACTGACGAGGTGAAGCCTTATTAGGTTAATATGGTTGATGGTAACCAGATTAAGGGAGTTGAATGGTGCAAGAGCTTTGAATGGAAGGTGCAAAATCTGGTTTTTAGTACTGAAGTCTTATTATTACCTCTAAGTGAATATGACCTTATCTTGGGAATCCAGTGGCTAGAACCATTGGGAAAGGTTCTTTGGGATTTCAACAAGAGGACTTTGCAATTTATGTATCAAGGGCAGATGGTACAACTAGATGCGGCTCCTAGTCCCTAGTTGAAATGGATTGAATCTGACCAGATGATTTACACCTTGCGAAAGGAAGATTGTTCAGACAAAAGCAAATTTTTTTTTGTCCAAATGGTAACTCCAGCTGCGGCCAAAGTAGAGTTGAACAGCTTGGAATCTAGTGGGATTCCTACTGAGCTTTAGAAGTTGTTGGAGGGGTATAGTGATGTATTTTCAGAACTTGATGCCTTACCACCAGCCAGAACCCTTGATCATCAAATTACTCTGAAGGCAAGAACAGAACCTATAAGTATAAGGCCTTATAGGTACCCTACAGTGCAAAAAGATGTGATGGAGAAGTTGGTAAAAAAGATGTTAGAGTCTGGTTTTATCAAGAGTAGCACCAGTCCATTTTCTTCCCCGGTTGTGTTGGTCAAGAAAAAAGACGGGACTTGGAGAATGTGTGTTGATTACAGGGAGCTAAATAAGACTACTGTGAAGGATAAGCTTCCAATGCCTGTTATTGAGGAACTGTTAGATGAATTACATGGGGCTCAATTCTTTTCCAAGATAGATTTAAGGTCTGGTTATCACCAGATCAGAATGAAGGAGTCAAATATTCATAAGACTGCTTTCAAGACTCACCAAGGTCATTATGAGTTTTTGGTGATGCCCTTTGGTCTTACAAATGCTTCATCCACCTTCCAATCTGTAATGAATGATGCTTTTCGACAATTCTTAAGGAAGTTTGTGCTCATCTTTTTTGACGATATTTTGGTTTACAGTAAGACATGGGAACAACATCTGCAACACTTGCAGCTAGTACTCCAAATTTTGAGGGACAACACTTTCTATGCAAAGCAAAATAAATGTGCATTTGGAGTATGAGAAATTGAGTATTTGGGGCATATCATTTCTGCTAAGGGTGTTTCTACTAATTCAGCAAAGATTAGTGTAATGCAAGCTTGGCTAGTTCCTAAATCTATCAAGGAATTAAGGGGGTTCTTAGGCCTAACAGGGTACTATAGACCTTTGTTAGGCATTATGGTGTTATAGCCAAACCTCTTACAAATCTATTAAGGAAGAATAACTTTGTTTGGAATATGGAAGCTCAGCAAGCCTTTGAAGCTTTAAAACAAGCCATGTCTTCTGCAACTGTCTTAGCTTTACCTGACTTCCAAGAAGAATTTGTCATTGAAACAGATGCTTCGGGAACTAGTGTGGGTGCAGTACTAAAGTAAAAGGGACATCCAATTGCATTTCTAAGCAAGGCACTAGTAGCTAAGCATCAGGGGCTATCTACTTATGAAAAGTAATTATTGGCTCTGGTTATGGCAGTCACTAAGTGGAGGTCGTACCCAGTTGGGAGACACTTTGTTATCAAAACTGATCTTCACAGTTGGAAATACTTGTTGGAGCAAAGAATTGCTACCCCTGCACAACAAAAATGGCTTTCCAAATTGCTAGGTTATGATTATGAGATCAGTTAGAAGAAAGGGGCAGAAAATCAAGTAGCAAATGCTCTATCAAAGGTGACTAGTCATGAAGTATCTCTACGAGCCATGTCTATGGTCACTACTGACTTGCTTGAGGAGATTCAGTCTTCATGGGTTCATGATGATAAGTTGCAGTCATTTATCCAAGAAATACAAAAGGCACCAGCTTTTTATCCAAAATATTCTTTTGTAGATCAGTACCTACGCAGAAAAGGGAAATTGATGGTTGGCAATACTGATAATTTGAAGCAAAAATTAATAGCAATGATTCATGCAGGAGCCTTGGGGGGACACTCTAGTACATAGGTTACAATGAGGAAGTTAGCTGTTAGTTTTTACTGGAAAAACATGAAGAAGGATGTGTGCAAGTTTATAAGAGGCTGCAACATTTGCTAGAGAAATAAGTATCAAATTATGAATCTAGCAGGATTACTACAACCCTTGCCAATGCCTCTCAAAGTTTGGGATGGGGTGTCTATGGATTTTATTGAAGGTTTGCCAAACTCGATGGGTCACATAATGATTTTGGTCATAGTTGACAAGTTGAGCAAATATGCTCATTTTTTAGCCTTATCGCATCCTTATACTGTTGCTAAAATAGCTCAACTTTATTTGGTGAATATATACAAATTGCATAGCATGCCCAAAGTGATTACAACTGACAGAGATCCATTGTTCACCAGTTTATTTTGGAAGGAGCTCTTCGAATTGAGCAAGGTTTCTTTGCATCTGACTTCTGCCTATCATCCTCAATCTGATGGCCAGACATAGGTGGTGAATAGATGCTTGGAAACATATCTGAGATGTATGTGTGGTGAAAATCCTAAGGAATGGAGTACCTGGTTACCTTTAGTTGAGTGGTGGTATAACACCAATTTTCATTCAGCTCTGCAGTCTTCTCCTTATGAAGTTCTTTATGGTCAGAAGCCTCTTTTGCATGTGCCCTATATTTCTAGTGCTTCTCAACTTGAAGCAGTTGACAAGTCCCTACAAGCACGAGAGCAAGCATTGAAAATCATTAGGCATCACCTCTTGCAAGCCCAGAATCGAATGAAACAGTTAGCCGATAAGCACAGAGTGGACAAAGAGTTCTTAGTGGGTGATTGGGTTTATTTGAAACTCACTCCTTTCAAACAGTCTTCCCTATTGACCAGCCATAGTCACAAACTTTCCCCCAAGATTTTGTGCCCCCTTCTAGGTGCTTAAGAGAATTGGATCTATGGCTTACAAGTTGAAATTGCCTGCTACGGCTAGAGTTCATGATGTCTTTCATGTATCTCTACTAAACAAGAAAATTAGGGACAACGTGAGTGTTTCCTCCTTTCTGGAATCATTACTTGGTACTACTCAAGTGTTCTACCCAGATGCAATTTTGGATAGGAAAATCCAGAATAAGCAAGGGAAAGCAATCACTATGTGGTTGATTAAGTGGAAGAATCATTCAAATGAAGAAGCCACTTGGGAAGTTTGCACTGATTTCATGGCCAGATTTCCTGACTTTACTCCCAATCCTTGAGGTCAAGGATTCTAAGGGAGGGTGCAGTTGATACAGGCTTAAATGATAGGCCAGTACTACTAAGCTAGAGCTGAAGTGGATTTGCAGTTGGAAGGTTATGCTGACTGTGCAAGTGGTTAGTGAGAAACTTGCAGATTAGTTAGAATAGCTTAGAGTTAGTTAGCAGCAGTGTTGGTTAACTCAAGTATATCTTGTAATTAGCCCCAAATATATAAGGGGACCGCTCTGTAATTCTTTTGTTGATTGATGAATAAAAGAAGTAGACCCTTTTCTCTCCTCTTTGGTTCTCCCTCCTTCTCTAGTTCTTCTTCCTCCCTGGCTCTATTTTCTCCTTCTTTCTTGATTCTTGATTTTTTGGTTTTGGTGCTATCACAGTTCTGCACATTTTGCCGAACCATCATATGCTACTTCTCAACGACACCTTTGAGCCTTTTAGAACAACATGTAAGAGTGCAACAAGGAAATGGAGCACAAGGAAACCAACGCGACACAATTGTAGGTCCAGGAACCACACAAAAACTCGACGCTAAGAACTTGGATCCTACTCGTACTAGTGATGATTTTGTGATTTTACCAATTGATTTTATTCTTATGAACCCATAGATCTAGGTTTTGCAAACCCAAATTGCAATGCATAAAAAAAGAAAAAGCTCATGAAGATGGAGGAAAGGATTGGTTTGAGGAAGAAGAAAAGGGAAGGTTTATGAACACGAACCCAAATCTAAATTCATGAACCCAAATTTGGGTTCATGAACATAAATCCAAAAATATTTAGAAAAAATATGAGAGGGGAGAGGAAGAGAAGTAGAGACCGAAAAAAAAAAAAAAAGGAATAAGGGAGGAAAAGATTGCTAGGAAAATGGAGGAAAGGGAGAAGTTGCTGGAATTGATAAAGATAAACAAGGGGGAGAAATGGGATCCTTAATCGGGAATAAAATAGGTAAGAGGGGTATTTATGTAATATTATAAAAGTAATAAATACAATTATAATAGGTGATTCTAATGGAGATATTAATAGATGACTTTGGTAACTTTTTTTTTATGGTATGATGTGTAATTACTTATCATTAATTAATTTAAAAAAAATACCATTTGAAATATTTTAACTGTTATGTGTCACTTAAATAACGGCAGTGTCAAAATTGCGGTAGTTTTAAGAGTTGAGAAATAAAAAAAATATAAAAATTAATTGAAAGATAAAAATTATACAAATTCACTAATTAAAATTAATATTTAACTTTTTTTTTAATGACGTGTGGCCTTACGCATGTCGGCAGAAAGTACGTCACATCAGACCTGCTCTCCACGCGTCACCTGGCGCCAAAGTCATATATCGGTGGACCCTACCTGTCCAATGCCATGGCTTTTTCTCCTATATTGCTGTGATGATAGATGTATATTTTTTATACTACCATCTTTTATATTTAATATTAAAAATATATAAAATATTAATTAAAATTAATAAAATTATATAAAATATTAAAAATTAAGAATTCATATCTTTAGATAAGAAATTTTATGAAAAATATATGTGAAAAATATTATCAGATTAAGCTTATAATTATATTTATTAACTATTAATTCATGAAGCTTTAGACGAAATAAATAAAAAGCTCATTTATAAAACCTAACATGGGGTCAAATTCTTTTTTTTTTAGACAAACGCGCGTCTTTAGAGTGTAGGGTACCAATTGCTAGAGACTGACTTCGCGCGATTGAAGCAAGACATCTACGCGACTCTTTGTGGTCAAAAGTCAATAACTACCAAGCTAGTGTTTGATATAAATATACGTTAATAATAAAGCATCCGATCAAAGAAGAGGCTATTGCTAAATCAGTAAATCCAATCAATTAAGAGATGGCGCACAAAGAAGGTGATTCGGGATCTGATCCTAAGGTTGTTGGAGGAGTTGATTTCGAAGATGATAGTAAGTTTTCTGGTTGAATTTCTATCATTTTTGTCATTTCTAGATACTCCAGTTTTCAACTGACGTTTTGACAGATATGATGCTGATTTCTTTCATAAATGCCTTAATTCTCTCCTTAATTTGCAGCATCTGAGAAAAGCAGATTATCAGCACAGCCGCCTCCACCTCCGCCATCAGGTAAATAAATCTGCCTGTATATATACTGCACGGAGCTGTTTGGACTTTGTTTCTAGATCTGGAAAAAAATAATGAAATTAGGAGAAGAAACTAATAGGAATGACTATTAGAGATATGTCCAAATATTTTTACATGTCTTTTCTTTTTTCTGTAACGGGACACTTAGGCGGATTTTTAATAGAAGGATTTTTAATAGAACCATCAAGTTTGAGCTAAAATGATAAATAATAAAGGTTAAATTAAAGTTTTTTTAGTTTTAGAATTAAATTAAAAATTTGTACAATAGTTAAAAGATTAAAATAAAGTTAAAAAAATAAACAAATAAAAGTGAACTGTTGGTATAATTAATGTATTATTTTATAATTAATTTATATTAAAAGTTTAAATATTAATTTTAATATAATTAATTAATTAAAATAACTTATGCATTAATAATATTAAAATAAATATTAATTTTTATATAAATTAATTATAAAAATATATTTATTATACATTGTACAGATTAAACAATAAATAAATAAGTTTGATTTAATCATTTAGATGATTAGATTCAATCGGAGGAGATATAATTGATAATAATAAACAAATAAAATATATTAAAGTAAGATGACAATCAATTAATAAAGGAATTCCAAATTTAAAGTGGGAAATTAAAAAGTCAAAATGTTGTAGGCGTAAACTTGCATGAAAGAACATGAAAGACTAAAAAATTAAATAAAAATATTCAGAATAAAAATGCAAAAAAATAAAAAAGGGTTTTGGGCTTTTTGGCTTCTTGGGCCTACTCATCCGGTTGTCGGTTCTTGGGCTTAGGAACCGATACCCGCCGGACTGGGCTCTCAATTGCAACAGCAACGGAGGCCCAGCTCAACCGAATGCTAAAAAAGCCCAACCTTCATGTTGCGCAGGTGGGCATGGCTTTTTTTACAGTTCGGGCCCAAACGCCTAGCCCTAATTTTAGTTTCTGTTTAGTGTCAGACTTCTATATGAATCTAATACGGTATCTTTTTGGTGGCAAAAAAAACGGAGATATATATAGTGTGTATTGTTTAATAAACATTTTAATAGATTTGATGATTGTTTCATATATAAATTCCTTTCAATTCTGCAATAAAGGCAGTGAGACAGTGGGTGGACGAAAAAGAAAAAATAGGGAAATTAGTGACGGCTGTCAGCGCGCGCAGAATGAAGGGTTGAGTAAAGACGCAAAATATAGGGCAAAACAGAAGGTAAACGTTTTTATCATTTCATTTGCAGGTGTCGTCTTGAATTTTTATTACATTATGTACTTTCAGGCAGCGCAACAGGAACTGGAGAAGGAGAACAAGGACTTGAAGGCTAAAACTGATGAATTAGAACGTGAAAATATGCAATTGAAGTGGGATAAGGTTGGGCTTGAAAAGCGTGTTTTGGAACTTAAAATTGAAGTTCAGGAGGCTGTTGTGGAGAAAGAAAAGGCTGCTGTGGAGAAAGAAAAGGCTGCTGTGGAGAAAGAAAAGGCTGTTGCGGGGCTTGAAAAGCAAGTATTGGAACTTAAAATTGAAGTTAAGGAGGCTGTTGTGGAGAAAGAAAAGGCTGTTGCGGAGAAAGAAAAGGCTGAGAGGATACACATTCAACAAAAGTTTGATACCGATCAAAATTTGCAAAACCTAACTGATGAGCTTTGCTTCTTCAAATTTATCTCCAATATAACGGCAGACGGATCTGTAAGTCTGCCCTTTTTGTTGAAATTGTTGAAAACCTATGGTTTCTTTCTTCTTTTTGCATAGCATGAAGCCAAGTCCTCCATGTACGTACTACTCTTCATAAATTGTCAGCTGACCATTTTTTTTTTT